GTCCATCACATAACATCTTGTGAAGTGAAAAGCTGCGTGTTTGTAAGAAACCAATCCAACATTAAGAATTTTTTAATTTCAGCTGTGAAAAAGTTGTCTCATTTAAATCAGGAGAGAAATATGCACAGACAAAGCAGTGTTTACAAGCAAAAACAGTCCAACACAATTCTAAACAAATATGTTGGTTGATTTTGATGTGAGGGGACATTAGGGGATGGACTTTTTCTGGAGGAGTTTAAGGACTCATATTTTGGTTAAAAGCAATGGTTTAAAGTTAAAATGCCTTAAAGGGGTCATATGATGCTTTTTTTAAAGATCATTATTTTGTGTATTTGGTGTAACAGAATATGTTGACATGCTTTAATGTTCAAAAAACACATTATTTTTCAAATACTGTACATTATTGTAGGTCCTCTATGCCCCGCCTCTCTCAAAAGCTTCGTTTTCTACAAAGTCCCCTCTCTCGCGCGCTCTCTCTCGCTCTCTCTCTTTTGCATTTGAACAGTCAATAGCAAATACTTAAACTAATAACAAAACATACTTACAGTAGCTGATTCAGAAGCGCCAGATTGTCATAGCAAAGTCAGAATTACCTCCTCTCCTAGGTTCACGAAACGGTCGTCCATAAAATGCATTGCTGTTCTGTTGTAAGTAATCTTAAAGATTCCTAAATGCATCTACTTTCGGAAGGCCAAATAAAGTTCTTTTGCTTTCGCCTAGAAACACACAGCGTCTCCCTGACATGGCTGCTTCAACACTAACTGCGGTTACTGAAACCACGCCTTCTTTCTTTGCGTGAACATTTGGGTGGCATTATGCAAATATTTCCACATAGTGAGGTAGATATGTGGGGACGTGTTAGAACGAGCCGTTTTAGGGGGCGTGTAGAGTCTTAACTTTGATAAAGTATATCTTTGTTTTGAGACTTTAGTCTTTGCAACTTCAGGGATCTTATCTATTCACGAACAGCTTGTAACACTCCAAAGAGAAAGGAAAACTTGAAATCGCATCATATGACCCCTTTAATGTTGATGGACTGGAGTCGTGTGGATTATTATGGGTGTTTTTATAAGCTGTTTGAACTCTCATTCTGACGGCACCCATTCATTGCAAATTTCTCCAAATCTGTTCTGATGAAGCAAGTGATGTAATACTAAATATCTCTGTTCTAATGAAGAGACAAACTCATCTACATCTTAGATGGCCTGAGGATGAGTACATTTTCATTTCTGGATGAACTATTCTTTTAAAGAGTGCAATTAATATTACAAAAATATTGCCTTTTGTAATGCTTGCTGGTTTTTGTATACACCTTTTTTTTTTTTTTTTTTACAACCAAAGTTTACTGCATTTGCTGTGAAGTGTCTTAACCTGGCAATAGTGTAGTTTATGTTAAAGGTTGATCTAATTATCCTCTCTTCATGTTGATCCCCAGGGTGAGAACCCCATTTACAAGAGTGCGGTGACAACGGTGGTCAACCCTAAATATGAGGGCAAGTAATGGACGAATGTGTCCAGCAACACTGAATGCAGAACAATTCAAGAGGAATGGAAGAGTTGAAGTTCACTTTGTTTATTTTCTTTTTTTGTGTGTTTTTTTTTTTAAATCACCTTTTGGCTGTGCATTTGCCACTGTTCTGTTTAATCTATTAACCTGTGTTTCTATGCATTGTTTTGGAACTGTACAGTATGTATAAACTTGAGGTTTTTATTTTTTTTTATGCAATCTTAGACCATAATTTCAATGTTCAGTTTTGATTTTTAGCCACAGATCTGCCTTGTTTTTCCTGAATGTTAAAACCGATCTTGTTGGGTTAGATGACGGGTTTTGTAGGTAAGATGTGGTCAAGTATGCATTAAGAATGTTATCCAAAAAGACAAGGCACAATTACCGGACCCACCTGCTTCAGTCCAGTAACTGGTTGATCATTAGAGTCAGTTTGTGTCTTATGATGGTACAGGAAACTTTCTGAACCTGTGGATGGAGTGTCCTGTCACTGGTATAGTAGGTAGCTGTAGTGGACCACTGCTGTTTGTACACATGGTGCTTTTCATGTAGATGCTTGTGTCGTCTGCAGAATTTTGGATGATTTGAGACCATATTATAATGTTTAGGTCTGTGTGACTATGGATCTGTGTGCTCACCTCGCCTTTCTTTGGTCTGCGAGTCAGGTGGTTTAGTGACCTTCTATTGTGCACATTGATGATTTTAATCAATCTAAAATGGACAGATTTAGTATCTTTTTAATTACGTCACACAAAACATGTACAACATCTATCAAGTGTTTGATTTAAATGCCTTTGACTTGGCAACATCGGAGTTGTTTGAAAGATGTTAGAGGGACATTTTCATCATTGTCTGTGAATGGAACAATCAACTTTTTATTATTATTATAATTGAAAACATAAGTGTGAAGTCATATGAAAAGATATTCAGGTTTTAGATTTGTTTGAAGAATGAGGAAATTAAAACTCAGGTCCTGAATTTCTCTCTATCACTGATGCCAAATATTTACGTCTACTGTGCATGAACTATTTTCCAGATGTGGACTTCACATTTGCTTTTGTACTTTAATTAGTCCCTTTGTAACATCTTTGTTCATAAATGAGACTAACTGCTCAGATTATTGTTGGTAAAGATCAGTGTTAAAGAAAGATTACTTCTTCTTTTTTTTTTTAATCTCTAAAGCTTTTAAAAGCTTAATCATGTTACATACTTTGCATTTTAAAGTGCCTTTTTCATTTTTGCATCATGCCCGCTATCTTTTGTTTCTAGGAGTTATTTATTAAAATAAACAACCCAAAACACTGGACTGCATTGTTATCTGTGTCTGTTTATGAGTCGGCATGCTTTATAATTGAATGTAAGGTCTTTATATCATAATATAGATTTTAAATATCTTCAGTTGTGTTATGAGGATGAACAAAAGTCTTAGGGGATTGGAACAATTTGAGGGTGAGTAATTAATGACAGAACTTTCATTTTTGGGTGAACTATCCCTTTAAGAATTGTTTTATATTTTTACTGGAAAACTAGACAAAAATACAAAGAATTTATTTCATATTTTTTTGTGAATTGGGACACATTTATTACTGAGGCATTCTTTTCCCCACAGGTCATGGTCCATGCGAGTGCAAAAAGTGTATCTGACGTTGACGTGAGTGTGTGACTGCCCTGTACTGTAAACGTACTGCCCTTTTTTTCCTGTCAAAAGATGTGATCAGAAGATCTGTGGTGTATGTGGACTCACATTAGACATTTAAACTGAGAACTGTGTGTCGTAGGATGTCGTAAGTCAACAAGCAGATGTTGATTGCTGTGCTGTGCTTGCATGTTAGTTTAGCCTAGCCTTTTAGGATTTTGATCATATATTTGTGTTATATTATTGTAAAACTGTGTGTATACTACACAGAACAAATTGTCATTATTAAAACAACATATTAGAAAACATAAATCAAATAATTCTAGGGCTCCATGTTTCCAAGCTGGTAATAGGTTACATGAGAGCTTGCTCATGAGAATGTGTTATACATACACAATATTAAGTCTTTATAGAAATTTTATAGATTATCTTAAGAGAAGCAAATAAAATTGTATTTTAATTTTAAATGGTCTGCAAAACTTGACATCTGTTTTCAGTGTTATTGGGATATATAAAGGTTATAACATTTAATGATCTATAAGTGATTACTTCGTAACTAATTATAATATAAAATATAAAATTATATTACCAGTGCACCACAATTCTACAAATAAACTATTTTATTTATCATTCATTTATAATTGTATTTATCAAGATGTCCTGCAGGTTCCTCTAGTGGACAAAATTAGCATTGCATCCATCACCTTTCAGTTGAAATGGCTGATAGTTTGAGAGCATCACACATTAATGAAACTAAGCATGTTTTCACTTCATTCCTTTTTAAAGCCTTCTTTGCTAGATTATCCTCAGCTTCATTTCCAGAAATCCCTTTATGGTGTCCAACAGAGTCCGACTGCCACTCCTGTCCTTCAAATACGATACAAGAGCACAAATATTTAATTCATTAAATCTTCTATGGGTGATTTCTGGGCAAATATTATTATTAATACTGATGCTGAAGTCTTATTTCCTCCTCTGTTAAACCCATTATAATGGCAATTGTTTCTTCAGAATATGTTGATAAATTAGATGTTAATCTTTTTGACATTTCTGCACAATTTGATTGATTTTGACATTTCTGAAATATACACTCTTATACCTGTGGTTCATGCGATTAGATCTTTTGATCCGTCTGTATATATGTGTAAATACTTTATATTAAATTATATATATATATATATATATATATAAAATTCTAATTAGTT